ACAATGAAGCTAGAAGAAGAATATTGGAGGGGGCACTTACTAATATGAAACTTTTTACTTTTGATCAGCATTTACTAATATGAAGTGTCTTTATTCATTGTCCAGTGACCCAAATTACCACTACAATTCGCCTTAAGATACCCAATATTGACAATGACCTTTGTGGAGGGATCCATAACTTTCTTTTGCTTTCAGTCAAGAAAGCATCCATCTTTTTCCCATTGAATTAATTGAGCAAAGAGGGAAAAAGGGCACAAAGGGGTCTTTGATTGTAATAAGCATTAAGCACACATGCTTCTTCTTTTTTTTTTTTAATTGTGTTTAGCTAAGAAAAGAGGAAGATGAGATGAGCTTTTCAAAAAAAGGTGACCATATGAAGATATGTATCCTTTGAAATTTGATTAATGATGAATAACCCATTAGCCATACAGAGGCAGACATGAACACTCACAAAAGAAAAACTTAAAATAAGATAATTAACGAGAAAATCATGATAATTTTATTAGTTTTAGATTTAAGTTTGGTAAGCATAAATTATTATCTAATGTTTTACTAATTTGTTATCATTTGTATTTGGTAACTTGGTTTGAATTACAAGGAAAAAACTTGAAGTTTAACATCTGCATAAATCATGCACACCATTACAATGATCTAAACAATTTAGTCATTAAATTTTTTTTTTCTTGTGTGAAAGTAGAACGTCTAAATTTGAGTAGCTAACATTTGAGTAAAATAAATAGAAAAATTAAGGGATGTTTATCGCTAATGGTGTTAAAAAAAAAAAGAAAAAAAGAAAAGAAAGAGCGCCCACCATAATTATTAACATGAGACAAGAAAACAGGTACAGTAACTAATCTAATCATGTTTTGTTGCAAACTTCTACGTACCAGTAAAAATGTGATGACATTTAAATTAGAAGGGTCGGGAGGCTATCCTTGCCTTAAGCGTGAAGTTGTAAACAAATAATGTTAATAATTACATGGGTAACATGAGACAGCTAGAGTGATGGATGATGCAAAATTATGCAATACTTATGAGTACACATCTAATGACTTATATTATAAAAATAATTCTTTTCTTCCTTTTTGTTAGAATTTAAGCTTAGGATGTTTAACAATAATAATAATAACAATAACAAAAAGTTATAGCCTTTGATTGAGACCCAAAATTATGCAATATACCATTATAGATTTGCACTACTAACCTTTCTTATCATTACTAAATTGAAAAACTTTTCATTTTTTAAAATTAGATAATAAAAAAAATAAATTGTGTAGTTTGAATTATTCTAAACTGCATAATTTTAACTATTAAATAGAGGTTGATACTCATATTTTTTTTGGATAAAATATAAATTTTTATTTATCCAATAAAACTTGAAGTACTAAAATAACAATCAAAATGACTACTATAAGGTGTAAAACTCTTAGTTAACTAGGTATCTAAAAGAAAGACTACTTTACAAACTTGTCAAGCCCCCAATGTGATGCTATGTGCCTAGGCAAGGGAGAAGAAATGAGGCTTAACAAAGCCTAAAACTTTGCCTTGTACATCTCTTAAAATATCAGTGATGATCAGAGCTTTTGATCTAAATAACTGTTGATGAATCCTTTGGTTTCCTTCCATCCATACATGGTACATTGCTTTACTTCATGCAAGCTTGATTAGGGTTCGTTGTAATGACTTGCCTATTTTATTTCCCATCCAAGCTAATAAGTTGGTGGAATCAAAGAAAGGGATATCAGCCATAGAGGATAAACTTTTGCCAGATCTGCTTAGTGAATGAACATTTGAAAAATGGATGTTCAGAGGTTTTGGAAGTTATTCCACATAGAGAGCAGGTGTTAATTATACCTTTTATCCATTGCTTCTACCTTGCCTTAATGGTTAACCTATCCAGTATAGCCAACCATCCAATAAAATTATGCTTGGGATCAGAATCAAAGAACCATACTAGCTTAGTTTAGGGCACTTTATTATGTTTCTTCCTCAACCAATGCCAAGTTTGGAATTTACCAAAAGTAGAAGGCAACTAAACCACAATACCTCTTATCTCGACTTGAGGATATAACTCACCACACAAAGCAGCTAGTATTTGAACCAAGTTGAATGAGCTAGAGGCTAATTCCAATAGTTGCCCTAAATTACTATAGCTCTTCACTTGCAAAGGTATTGTAGTATCATACATTATTTTAGTGCCAAAAGCTTCAACTAATGGCCCATAATGGTGCCAATTATCATGTCAAATAAAAAATTCCCTGCCATCGCTTGGAATATGCTTGATGAGTTGCCTAACCTTGTGTCGAGCTTAAGAATTTTCCTCTAGCTCCAAGAAGCATCTTCAAGAATCTTGACAATCCAAAAACTACAACCTTTTAATAGGTACTCATGCATCCAAGCTACCCATATAGAACCAGCTTAAGAGAAGATCATCCAAATGTACCTCATTAGAGTAGCAATATTCTAGCTTTCAAGTCCCTTCAAACCCAATCCCCCTTCTTGGTTTGGGAGACAAACAAATTCCCATTTCACCGTTGTGCCCCTAGCAGTCACAATTGAATTATTCTAAAGGAAGGCATTACAACGTTGTTCAATCTCTTTTATAGCTATTTTTGGGAGAATAAAGACGAAAGACTAGAAATTAGTTATTCCCTTGATGATAAAGGAGATTAGTTGTAGTCTACTTGCAAAGGAGAGGTGCTTAGCTATCTAGGTAGTCTTTCTATCAATAATATTGACTATGAGCGGCTTAAGCTCCTTCTCAAATCATTTTCTGTAATTAAAGGGATGCCAAGATATCTTACTGGGAGTGCATGAGCTTTGAAACCATAATTTACAGTAAGAATATTAATTGTATAGTATTGGCAAAAAGCTCACACCAGTAGATCTCAAATTTGTTATAGTTCACCTTCAAACCAGACATAGAGTAGAAGTCTTGCATCTATAGCAGATAAAGAAGAAATGCTAGCATTTGTAAAAATGATCAAGTCATTACCAAATTATGAGTAATTGAGTTGAACACTAACACAGTTTGGATCCTCTAATGTTAGGGGTTTCTTTTTATTCAATGATTTTTATTTTACAATCTGATACAAAAGAAATCACTTTAAAAAAAAATCCATTTTATTTTATCTGATATAAGTAAACAAAAAAAAGGTAATTGCTACCCACAAAAATATTAGTAGCACATAACTTTTTATTAAATTGTTAATTATAGTGTTTCATAATATTTTGCAAATTAATTTTAATTTATTAATTAAAAACATTAATTACTTAATATTAATTATCAATTAATAATTATTTTTAACAATTAAATTAAATTAAATTAATATTTTAAAAAATAATACTAAAAATTTTTTGTGACCATAATAATAATTTTGTCGGTCACCATATTCACTTCGGTGAGCAGAGATGACCGTTTTATCTGTTTGAATGCTACTTGACTTCACCGAGACCACCAGGGAGGGTCCAATAATAACTATCCCCATTTCAACTCTAACAGAACAGAGCTGTTTTTATAAATAAAATACACACCTCTGTGCTATCTGCTCTACGCTACCTGAAAGCGCGTTCTGTGATCTCTTCCGCTTTCAAGGTGGCTAACTTTTTTTTTTTTTTTTTGTGTGGGTCCATTATCAGAAACAAACACCATTTTAAAAATTATGAATGTGAATTTTGACTGGATATTTGGTGTGAAATGTGGCCTTAGTTATGGCCACACACGTGTATTTATTAAAATTATATAAATTATTTAATTTTTATTTTATTTAATTATTAAAAACAATTAATAATTAATAAAATTATTAAAAT